ACAAAACACATCAACTGTTTCCAACCATGAAGTTAGCCTTGATTACTATATGAATCCCTTAAAGATCATGTTAAGTTTTGACATGCTATAAATTTTTTACACATTTTGCCAAATCTTAGGTCACAGCAAATTGTATGACCTAGAATTTGAGGAGTAATGAATTTACCAACTATTCGTTTTGTTACTGAAACTCTTAATTCATAAGAATTTGACTAATTACGGAACATGGATGATCTTTCACTAATCATCTGGCATTATTTTCACCCATAGCTATAATCATATAGGAATAAAGGGTGATGAACTGCTTCAGTTAATATGTTAAATATAAATAGTCAATCATTGGTTATGACTGAATGTTCCACCTTGGATTGCTTAAAGAACACAGAGATATTTGAATGATGTCATCCTTATTTGGTACATAGTCACAAAACACTAAATATATGTATGTATGTAAACATATGTATGCTAACATTTATAATTTTCCATGCTTTATCATGTTATTAAGCCTCATTTATGTCAACATTTCAAAAAATTCTTACCTCATCTTCACAAATATTGCTTTTCATATACACATTACAAAGCCATATTTATGTAGAGAACACAGTAAGTGAAATATATTTTCATCCTCTCTGTGAAGGTACCAATCATTTTGAGTTTTGAGGGTGCCATGGGTGGTCATGCTCTTATCTCTGGATCTTTCCTCCAAGATCAGTCGTTCCAATTATTTATTTGTACATTAATTTTTTTTCATTCTCATTCCTCATTTTTACCCTGAGAACTTCATGGCTTTTCACAAAAAGGAGGAGACAAACAAAAATAATATAACAAATGTAAAAGACTAAAGCAGGAAAATGAACATTCCAACACTGGAGATTAATACCATTGCTATAATTAAGCAATAAAGTTACAGCAAGTCTCCCTGCAGGCAAGGTAAAAAGTACAAGAAAGTTAAACATTTCTCAAAGAAAAGCAAACATACCATTTGCTCTTGAGAAAGAATTTCCTTTTACTAACCCTAAAGAAAAATGGTTCAACTATGGTGTCAGCCCTTGATTTCTACCTTGTTTAAGGGGTTTTTGTTGTTGGCTCCTGAGTATGCCATGCTAGCTAGCCGATGAAATTCAGTAGTCTTCTGCCTCTATCTCCCACCTCGTCATAGGAGCACTGGAATGACAAATGTGAGCTACGACATTCAACTTTACTTGTGTTCTAGGACTATGAACTCTGGTCCTCACACTTGCACAGCAAATTTTTATCCACTGAGGCATCTGATCAGAACTTTTAAAATTAAAACATAAAATAATGGACTTGTATTAGTCACTGTGGGAAGCGAGTACGGCCGAGCCAGCCAAAGATGGCGCCCTGGCTGGCTGTCAAACCTCGTGCTGTTTACTTCAACTCCTGGCTGATTGCCAAGGCTCGTGATCCTCGCTTGTTTACCCCAACTCTCTGAAGCATGGTGAGCCCGAACAGGTGCTGCCGCCTGATGATCTGCTACATGGCTAATGAGCTGCACTCTGTCTGCCCGCTGCACGTGTGTGTGCCCTGATTGGTCCTGGCTGGGGGGAGGGCTGTTGGAAATGCTATATAAAGAACTGAAGTGTGTAATAGAGCGCAGCATCATAGTGGGTGAGATAATGAAGAGAATATAAGAGAGAATAAAGGAAGGAAAAAAAAAGAAGCCTGAACCTCACCTTGGTGTCTGTGTCGTCTTTCCCGGACTCTGCTGGACAGAGTCCCGGCTCGTGACAATTTCTGTCCCTTTGACTTATTTTTTAAATTATAAATTAATAAACAGATACTTCAATTCTATATATCTTCATTTATTTGGTTATTTTGCAACAATTCTAAGAGGAAAAAAGCTATTCTTATTATGAAACCCCAGACCTTAGTCTATCCTCCATAGTAAGAAAAAGTCATCTTGTATATGACCTAGAGGCAAGAAATCTGCCACTTTGATAACCACAACCCTGTGATGGCATGCCTTCTGCAAACAGTGAAGATAGCTGCTTAGATAGCATACATTCAACAACCCTGTGGTACGTATTTTCAGATAATAGTCATAGTCCAGCTTTACTGGGTTGCACACATATTTTCTGTAACAAAAGATCTATAGCTATGTAATTTATACTTTTGTCACATTCTTTCCACTGCATTAGCAAAGAGGTTTGTTAGGTAAAAATTATAGTGAAAGGTAAAATATATGTTAATAGGGCCGGGTGTGGTGGTGCACGCCTTTAATCCCAGCACTTCGGAGGCAGAGGCAGGCAGATTTTTGTGAGTTCAAGGCCAGCCTGGTCTGCATAGTGAGTTCCAGGACAGCTGGGGCTATAGGGAGACCCTGTCTCAAAAAAAGTTAAAACAAGTTTCAACTATATCTCAATAAAAGAAACAGTAATGACATAAAGCATAAAGGAAAGTAAAACCTAAGTGTAGTTTTAGTGCATTAGTGCTTAATGTTAGCAATGAGAATATTACTGAAAATCACCTTAGTAAGCATATAAATTTCAATTTACATAACTACTGTTACCTGGAAGGAGTACTGGGAAGGGTGTGGTGGTGTACATACACATATATGTGGGTGTGTATGCATACACAGGCAAGGAAAGGTCAGAGGAGGAGGATGGGTGTCTTCCTCTATCACTCTACACCTTATTGTTTAAGACAGGGTTTCTCACTGAACCAGAGCTTGCTGTTTCTGCTAGGATGGCTGACTGGCCAGCAAGATCCTTGGATCTGCCTGTCTCTGCCTCCTAATGCTGGTGTTACAGGCACATGTTGCCATGCTAGGACTTTACATGGGGACTGAAGTTTGAACTCAGATCTTCTTGCTTTCATAGCAAGCACTCTTACTCACTGAGCCATTTCTTTAGCCCTCTGGAAGGAGTCTTTTATTTTTCACTGAGGGTTTTTATTTTATTTTATTTTATTTTATTTTATTTTATTATTTTGCGTGTGTATGATAGGGTGAGGGCACATGCCATGGCATACACGTGGAGGTCAGTGGACAACTCTGTGGAGTTGGTTCTTTCCTTCCACCTGTAGGTGGGTTCTGAGGATCAAATTCAGTTTATGCAGCAAGCACTTTACCCACAGTCATCACAAAGGCCTACTTAATTGAGGGGGTTTTTGCTTTGTTTTTGTTAATAAACAAAAGAGATTCGGGTTAGGCTAAAACATTTGTATTAAAAGGTTTCTCCTTTGTAACTGAAATATGTTTGGAAAATGTTTTGCTATTATTATTATTACTATATTTTTGCATATTTTCATCTAAATTTCTTAGAGGAAATAACAATTAAATTGAAATGGATACCTGATTAACATCTTGTCTCTTCCAGTTTTCCAATTTCCATTCTGAAAGACACAGATACAAGACCAGATGTTAAAATTTTTTAAATATTTGTCTGCACTGAATTGCCTTTATATTAGCTATTCCTAAAACTCCTATCAGTTATTGAAACCAGGAATCTTAGTTTGGCTTGAATGGAGGACTCGGATACCTGGAAGAGCTCCCCAGGCTCCTGGAGAAGGCAGCGGTGCTTTTGTTTCCCTGGCTAGAGGATACTGGGTTAGACCTAGTAGCACATGGCTTCTTCTGGAGTAGTACCTTGTAAGAACTGATCAGCAAGATGGCCTGAGACAGTCTCTTGCCTCCAGAACAGCCTGAGACAAAATAAGACAACTACAATGTGTTCAGAATAACTACTTATAAACATTATTATGTTTATCCTGTAAAAATTACCATGTGCTTTTATTCTTACTCTGAGCAACCTCTAGACATCTCTGAGAATCAATGCACAACTATTCTCTACAGTGTGTCTTAGATGCTGGGCAGTTGATATGATTTTGGATTTGTTTCTTTCCCAGTCTTTCCCCCTCCCTGCTTCCTCATAGGAAGCAAAGGACCACCCTGAGCCTGAGCTGTTGCTGTCACAGACCGCCAGCCCTGCAGACTTGGCTTGCTGGCTCCTCTGACCCTGTGTGCTGTGCTCTTGTGCTTTCAGCTCTCATTCTTTCTAAGCTCCTGCATGCTACTACGGGAAAGGGTTAACTGTAGACAGCTGTCATTGAATCATACTCATGAAAACTATTTTCTTATACTCTATGCTTCTGGTATTGTCAATCTTAAATGGTCTTTAATAATGGATTGATTCTGTATTGCCTTATTAAGACTAAATACTTCTTACCATCCCATTCCTTGCACCCTCTCATTTCATGGAATTGTCTTTAATGAAAACTACTTAAACATTAGCTTGTTTTAATCACACAGTAACTTCTGGCTATGGTTAGCTTTGAGTGCAAATGAAATGTATGATTCTGTTTTCTATCACTTGCTGAGTCTGAAACCCAGTTAGAAATATTTACCCTATTAAAATGTAAACAATATTTCTGCAAATGCTTTCTTCAGGGGCTGGAGAGATGGATCAGTGGTTAACAGCACTGACTGCTCTTGCAGAGGACCCAGGTTCGATTCCCAGCACCCATATGGCAGCTATGAACCATCCTTAACTCTAGTTCCAGGGGAATCTGATGCCCTCTTCTGACCTCTGCAGCACTGCATGACACAGGCACACTCACATGCATGTAGGCAATATACTCATACACATAAAATAAAAATAATAAAATATTTTTTAACAAAAGAGAAAGAAAATGCTTTCTTCAAGTGAAAACCCGTATGTCTAGCTAGCATCACTGTGTATGGCTTTGTTCAGCACAGCCATTTTTGAGATGAGATTCTCATGTGTGTGTGTGTGTGTGTGTATGTAAAGTACTGCTGGTTTTTAAGAGTTTCTTTTATATACATCTGATCAGAATTTCATCAAGGTAATCGGTCTTGGTTTTGAAACTGGTTTGTCGTGACATTGTGTCTAACCACAGTATTTATTGTATGACACTGTTGTGAATGTGTAGACTTATGTTTAATACTAAGGGAACATTTATTAAATAATAAAAGTTCTTGTGTAATCTGAAATTGTTAAACTACAACATGGCTCCTATTACTGAAAAATATAAATTAATTTTAATGATTGCTTCTGCTCCAGGGTGCAATTTATCTGTGTTTAAATATGTTTTATATAAAATACACATTTTCCAAGTCTATGTAAAATATCTCTAAAGCTTTAAAGGAGACTTGGTCATTTAAGCCTGCTTCAAGGCTCACAAGGACATATCAAAGTTGATACATTATAATAATATATTTAAGATAACTGTTCATCTCTTTATAAATATGAAATAAAATATTAATTGCTTGGTAAATGTGTTTATAAGTATTATTAAAATGGTTTATTAAAGTCTGAGCAGGGTTATAGCGCAGTTTTCCTTAGGTGATTATGCTGGAGGTTGAGTGCCAGGTGCTTCTCTTTACCTTATGTTTATACACCTTCTTTGACAGACCATTCTCTGAGCTACACAAAGTTAGTAGTAGTTTTGTGTTTTCTATAAGGTCTACCTGGGAACTTAAAGCACAGTGTGTACATGGGTAATATTAACTCATTGTATTATCTTAATATATATAATTTAGATTCCATGTTCTTTTACTAAGATGATGCTGCACTGCACTCTTCTAAGTCAAAGAACTACCATCTTCATGACTTCAGCTGTGCCTGCTTACAAAAGGTCATCACAATTGGGTTTGTTGACAGTTGTTATTCCTTCATTAATGGGGAGATAAGCAGGGTCGTTGGACCCTCACCTGAGTATCCAGCCATTCTTCCCAGCCAGTTGTATGCAATTCTGCCCTAATTGCAAATGGTCTCCTGCATTTAAAAAGAACTATAGTAGTAAAGATTTATATATAAAGATTAAAATGACAGGATATTTCCAGAATAGAAATTTATTTTAAGCAAACTTTATTAAAGGTCTGAACAGGTTTATCAAGATACAGAGTTGTTAATTTTCAGTCCACTCCTGGCTTGTGATGCACAACAGGTTACAGATTTGGATTAAATAGATGCAGACAAGTATTGGGTTACCTATGGCTACCAAAGATGTCTTTTATGTTTCTCTGTATTATGTAAATGCCTTTTATGTTTCTATGTATTATGCAAATGTTACTTTTGGCACTTTCTTTTGCCCATAACAGGAATGATTTGACTCAAGAAAAACTAGGTCCAGCTCCTTGAACCAGATGTATGCAATCTAGAACAGTTTTGGTGAAGGTTGGTCTGAATTCTGATCAGTTTATTTCCTTCCATAGGTATGTGATATGATACCTCCCTCCTCCTTTCTGAAAACTGTAAATCAGGATATAGAAAACTAAAAGGAGACTGCTTCTGTTTGTAACAGAACAGCCTTCATTTGAGACAAATTTAAGAAATTCTTGTTGTAAGGTCCCTTTCCTGGGCTGTGCCTAGTTAACCTGTGATGGTAAATCTCTTCCAGTCGATGTTTATTGAAAACATTTGGGTTTTGTTCAAGTTTTATCTCTATATTACACAGTAATTAAAGGTACCAGGCTAGTGCAACTGACCTTCTTGGATGGTTAATAACCACACTTAAAAGCCCATACTAATCTGGACAAAGGGGCTTAAGGGACAGTTTTGTTCCTTGCCCTGGAAGGTCAACAGTGTCTCAGAGGACTATGGGAATCTCTTGATATGTCCTATAGCTGTGATGAGTCACCTGTCCTCTTGCTCAGGGAGGTCATAGAGACCCCACCAGAGGGACTCAAAGCAGTGTCCAGTCTGCAAAGAGGAGGGTCAACACAGAGGAAACGTTTCCTCCATTTTTCCAAGTGAAGCCCTAGTTGAGCAGGATCTCTTGACTTATCTTCACCTAGATGGAACTGGTAAAAGAAAGGCCTAAGGAGGCAGGGGCTCCTCCCAAACCCATGTGACCCCTGAGAACCAGATCATCAACCGACCTTAAAGGAAAAGTTAATTGGTTTATTTGGGCCAAATGCATGGTCTTAAACACCCAAAAAGAAAGTATAACCAAAAATTAAAGTGATCAGTATATTTCTCTAAGAGTCCAAAGGATTACATTTCCCAGACATTACACAGGTAAATTGTTATTGTCCAGGTAAAATGTTATTTAGACAACTATTTCTCAGTAATAATTTTGTTCTTAACAAGAAAATGCTGCTCAGGTATAAGATTTCAAATCTTGGTCTGTAATACTGTAGTACCCACCTACAGCTACCATTATTCTAAAATGATGGCTAAATTCATTTTCTCTCCCTTTCTAGAAGACTGATTATAGCTACTCCAACAGCTATCAGAGTGCCTGAAAACAAATCCTGACTTCATCATTCTTGAGTCCAGCCTCGGTGGCCAAAAGAAAAATGAGGAGGAACCCAATAGATGCATGTTCTTGGAAGCCCTCTTCAGGAAATTCTAATGGGCTTGGATTTGGACATTTAAAATTCACCCTGTTCTGACTTCTGGTTCCCTGCCTGTAATTTATGCCTAACTATTCTTGCCTTTACTTCTCCTTCAAAGACACCAGTCAAGGGCTTTCTTTTCTCTCTATAGCTATACTTTTGGGTCTTTCGGGTAGACCCAATGAAGGGGTACTCCATTTGCCATGCCACACCCTATCTCCTTGTTCAACATGGAAGAAGCCAGGATGCTCTGCCTCCCGATTCCCCATGGGCAAACTAGATTATTTCTTCAGAGGAAAATAATAAAAAGTAAAAATTAGACAATTTAAAAGACCCCAAAAGAAAATGACCAGTTTCTTTCTGAACTGAGAGCTGAAATTTTCCTTAGATCTGCCAGTAAACCTACCTTTGAGAATAGAAATGCCAGAACCATAAAAGGGAAGGTATTCATACTGTTTTCATGCAAATCAACCTGGCCATGCAAATCAATCTGGCCAAGTCAGAAAAATGCAATACATCTACTAGAGAAAATAAAGGCCTAAAAAGAGGAGAATAAGTCTTTCTGAAAAATACCTGGAAAACTTCGGTCCCTGGCTCGCCTCACTAACAGAACCAGTAGTCATGGTTCTATTAGCTTTCTTGTTAAAATCTTGTATAATAAACTCACTAAATTTATCAAAAACAAGTAGAGGCCATCAGATGCCAGGTAACTGTCAAAAATACTATAAAGTTCCTCTTAAGTAACATAAGGGATTATGTCAATGAAGAGGAAGGGATATTATGGAACTAGAGCTTAACAGATGCTAAAAGCTTTTGCAATGTGGTGGCAATTAAGAACTCTGGAATGGGGACATGAACAGGAATCTTCCCCTGCCCCCTGCGGTTATCCAGGATAGAAGTCTTTGTTTTCTAAAGCTATCACATTCCTGTATAGAAATCTTTGTTGCCTAAGGCTTTCACATTTCTGTTACCTTTGTCACCTTACATTACCTTACTTACCATGTATATGCTATGTACCATTTGCTTGCATTCCTCATGAGTATAAAAATCCTCCAAAACTTGAACAAGGGGTCTGACTCCTTTTATTCAAGGGGTCAGTTCTGCTAGTGTCAAATTAAACTTTCTCTCCTCACCTGACTTTGGCTGTTGGTCTCTGATTTTTCCATTACACAGAGAGCCCAGGTTTGGCTCCCAGCACCCACATGGCCGGTAACAACCTTCTGTAACTCCAGTTCCAGGGGATCCAATGCTCTCTTCTGACCTCCACAGGCATTGCAGAACACAGGTGCATTTACATACATGCAGGCAACACACTCATACACATAAAACTATTTTTTTAAAGAAATAGGTGAAATGTCCAGTGCATTAATGAGATGGTGAACTTCTCCTGCCTAGGGGTCCCGTAGTGCAGTGCTTATGCACAGGGCCACAGACAGGGGCTATCCTTGTACGTCTTCCCACTTTTCTGAATTCTTCAGAATGGTGTAACCTCTCCCTTTCTTCTTTTTCTAACCATGCTTTCTGTAAGGCCTTGGGCTACCCCAACATCTTAGATTTCTTTACTTTTTCTCTAAAGTTCCCTTTCCCACCCTACCACAGAGCTCCAAGTCCGCCACATGTCTTTCCCTCCATGCTGGCTCTAAACTAGCATGGCTTTATGGCTTTTTCTCCTTTTCTCCTCCATTCTCCTCTTAAGTACGTCTGCTAAGATTTATAGCTTGCCTACCCCAAGGGTTTTTCTCTAAATTCTAATAAGATCATAATAAAATATTTCTTGTTTATAAAATTTTTTTTTAAATATTTTATTTGCTTTTTTTAATTTCAGGTGTACAAGTGTATTGCCTCCATGTAGGTAAGTGTAACCATAATGTGCAATGCTCATGGGGATCACAAGAAAGAGTCAGATTCTTCTTGAACTAGAGTTGTGGATGTTTTTTAGCTGCCAGATAGGTGCTGGGAATTGAACCCAAATCATCTGCAATAGCAGCCTCTACAAGAGCAGCCATTGCTCTTAACTGCTGGGCCATCTCTCTAGCCCCCAGACGTTAGGACTTTCAACAAGAACAAATCATTTTATTTTTAGGAATGTTGAAGACTTCATGGCAAACATAAATATTAGAACTCTCTCTTAAACCAACTCTGAAAAGGATGTTTTTTTTAAAAAGGCAGAGGTTTTTTTTATTTTTAAGGATTTTTAAAATTTATTATTTTTATTTTATGTGTATGAGTGTATTGCCTGCATGTATGTGAGTGCACCCGTGTCATGCAATGCCGTGGAGGTCAGAAGAGAGCTTCGGATTCCCCTGGAACTGGAGTTAAGGACGGTTCGTAGCCGCCATGTGGGTGCTAGAATTGAACCCGGGTCCTCTGTAAGAGCAGTCAGTGCTCTTAACCACTGAGCCATCTCTCCAGCCCCCTTTTTAAAGGATTTTAAAAAGAAAAATGAAAAGTAAATATTTACCATTCGCTATGATTTATTTAATTTTTAGAATATTCATTTGGAGATAGAATGTTTCAGAACATCAAAGGAAATAAAGATAAAAGTAAAAGTATAATGATAACTGTCAGAATGATTACCACCAATCACAATCCTGCTTTAGAGGGTTATTAAGGCAACCCAGTCAAGCCAAGCTTCTCTTTTTCTGTGTAGACAGCTGTTTACAAAATATTTAAAATTGTAGTTGAGATGTTCCTAAGATCATGAACCCCAAATGTTTAAAACAGCATGTTAAGTTACTATTAAAACAGCCTTAGGTGGCTGAGGAGATGACTCAGCTGGTAAGGCGCTTGGCACCAAGCATAACCACTAGAGTTAAATTCCCAGCACCCACATGGAGGAAGGAGAAATCCAACTCCCACAAGTTGTCCTCTGACCTCTACACCTGTACCATGGGGAGCATGCACATGTACATACACAAAACACACAAAGTAACTTTTTTAAAAGAACTACCTTCAGTCAGTAGGGGGAATGAATACTAACAAAGCACAAAAATATCTATAAAAATGTCATAATAAAGCCCACTGTTTAGTATGCTAAATATTAATTTTTAGAAACCGCCTTCAAAAATAGCCTCATTCTTCTCTATCTCTTTCCTCCCCCTCTCTCTATATATACAAATTCAGACATTTCAGTAAACACTAATCAGAATAATGCACAGTAATCAAAACAAGTAACTATGAGAAACCATATTTTGATTTAATGCTTTAGATATACTACAAAAAAGGGTTGTAAGATATTTTTATGACAAATTTCCCCTAATGAGCCAACAAATTGAAAAAACATTTTCATGATTCTACTAGTCATCTACCAAAAATTTATAGTAATCACCCAGTGAGGAAAAAAATGTACATCCTCTTTGTGTGTAGTTTATAATATTTAATATCAATATGAAAACATGCATTCCCACTGTGGTAACTTGTGAAGTCAGATGATTCCAAAGCATCAATATACTGAAAAATCAAATGCCAAAATGAAATCTCGAGTACAAACACATCATTTGCCTACCACAATCCACCTACCACAGAGTGGGCAGATGGCTGCTTCATCAGCTATAATCTTGGCAGTGCCCTGATAAGCACCCATAGTACCACACTCAGAATTCACTCCATGTTCCTTACCAAAGCCTTTGAGGTCTCAGAAGATCTCCCTCTGTTTCACTTCCCAGCCTTTCACCTTATGGTATTTCCCTTCTACCTGGTGGTGTCCAAGCAGCAGCTGTCTTATATTCTTCAAACAAGCTAAGCTTCTTCCATTATACGCCAGAACACTCTTACACCAATCTCTCCATCAATGGCTCCCTCCAATCCTCATTGTGAATAAACCTATTATTAGCCTAATCTATAAAAAGAATCCTACTCCATAAGGGAAACTTTTGGGATACTGTTAATGTCTTATAGGTGACCTCGTGTATACACACAAACACATCTTCATCAAGCTACATATACATTTGCCTATACGTTACTAAATACTTTAACAAAATTTTCAAGAGCTGAGTTATACCTCCTAAATTATTTTATCATATCACTCTAATTTCTCTCATAGCATTTAATCATAATATGTAACTTTTGTTTATAATAGTTTTAATCTACTGGTAGGGATTTCCAGCTCATGGTCTGATTAGAAGAGCATATACACCCAAGACACTGTGACACAATGTTTCAACTACAAAGTTCATTCTCAAGAACAGCTTAATCAGGTTATAAAATTTAAAACTCACAACAAAACAAACTTTATAACATTTTAAGTAAGTTTACTAATAAATTTACAATTTTATGTTGGTCTGCATTCATGATTCTGGGCCATATGTAGCCCACAGGTTGGATTAACCCTGTACTAGAGAATTAAGTTCTGTGGAAAACAAGGACTATCCCAATGACAATGTACTAGATGAAAAAAAGCTTTCTGGAGTCTTTTCATTTATGCTTAAATAAATCTGGAAAAATCATGTACTACTGCCTTATTGTGGCCTTCTATAAATAGTTCCTATTTATAGTCAGTTCTCTATAGATGTTGACCAATGTGTAAGAAACTGCCTTCCAAAAAGTGCACCATGACTTACATAAAGACATGCTGTTGAGTACACAGCTCATTGCACCTTTCTGCCTTCTTCAGGGTCCAGAGAGAAATATCTTGGTACTACATCTAGCTATCTAAGGGATGTATTGTTTTAGATACTGTAATTTTTAATTAATAGTATGTTTTTTGAAAGTGTTATTTATTTTTATTTTAGGTGTATGAATGTTTTGCCCATATGTATGCCTGTGCATGCAATGCCTGTGGAGGCCAGAGGGCATCAGATGGCCTAGAACTGGCATTATGGACAGTTAGCTATCATGTGGGTGCTGGGAACTGAACCTGGGTCTTCTGCAAGAGCAGCCAGTGCTCTTAACCTCTGAGCCCTCTTTCCAGCCCCAGGAGTATAATTTTGTTTGGGTTGGAAAATTGTAATCAAATTTATTATTTACTCCTTTATTTATTTGTATTTACTTCATACTGAAATTATTTAAATTAATTTAATAAAGCAAGATAAAAATTCCATTCCCAGGACATTTAGAAAGGCTTAGTTATCATCAATAGTACATTGAGAAATGTTCAAAAAATGGTTCTCCAAAAAAAGAGAAAAATCAAATTAACCAACTCCTTTTTGTAGTATTTATATATTATAACAGTAACAACAATAACACAAATATCAAAATGAGGAGCTGAAAACTACAAATTGAAATGATTTTTTTAAATTCATTAAAGTTTTCAACTTAGTTTAATTTTAATTTTTAAATGCAATATTCAGAGACATTTGTAACAATAAAGACAAATGTTTGTACCTTTCAAAAACTCGTCATCAAATTGCTGAGCTGATACTTTTTGTGGATATTTGATTCCAGCTCCCCAAGCAACTAAAGGAGTTAAAGTCTCTGAAGGGTGACCAGCCCCATGGGAACCTGTAACAAAGATACCAAGAGTAATCAGATAAGTACATAACTAACTGATGGCTAAATAATAAACACTTTGTTTTAAGAACTGATCCAATTACAGTTGATTCTAGCTTCCACATTCCTAAATGCTTACAACTTTTAATTACAATTTATTTGCAAAATATTCCCATAAAACAAGTCAGAGCATAAATAGGCAAAAACAAACAAATCAGAATCTCTCCTCAGTGACTAGTGGAGAAAAGAAAAGTAAAAAAGGTAGGTGTACCAGCACAGAACTGGGAAAATGAACAGCAGACCCCAATCTTATCCAAAGGAATATTGACAACTGATTACCGCTAGATGAGGAACAGCTGACCCCCCTAAAACAAAGACCTCTAGATAGGCTGACTAGATTCACCAGAAGGGCAA